CTTTTGGGATGCGGCACGCATTCTACTTACATTTGTACATGCGATAGTGGCCTATACAATGACTTGCGGGGGCCAGCCGATGTACAAGTCAGTGTTTTTATCCTCCCAGACAAGTCTGGTACCAATTAACCGACCCCGGAGGGATGGAAGGCTTGGTTGGCCCGGGCAGGATTTGATCCCCGGACCGCTCGCGTGGTAGCGTGCCACTTGCCACTACAACACTTCCACCCCTTGAGCTTTAACGGTCTATACGGTGCATTATTCAAGTTATTGGCTCGCAGCATGTGCTGGTTTGTCTAACTATCAGACCTGTAAACCATTGAGATGATGCGACACAACGCTGGAGATGTGGACTTCTCACAAAAATAATGTACTGGAAGAGAAAACGATCAAGTTCACGTTAGGCGTCATCAACCTAACTATTTAAGAATCGATCAAGTAGTTGAAGTTTTTCAAAAGAAAGAAGGAAGTGGAATGGGAGATTTAAGCAGCTATTGAGGCTGTTTCATGATCTTACACAGCTACTGAGGTTCTTCTGGGATCGCTATACGGCGCCTGTTCACCTTACGCAGCTTCACCCAAGCCAAAAGAAGTCGTGCAGTATAACCAGTTTCTGTAAAGATTTCGGACGTCATCACTATGCGGAAACCTCTTTCTCCATGTATAGTTTACGGGGAAAAGTTGTTGTTGCCCACCAGGTCCTTCAGAAGCCACAGTCTCTGCCATTGATAGAAATTCAAGAATATCGACATTCCAGCTAAATTTCTCCCTGAGGATGATTTCCAGTTCAGATTAAGTGCTTCCTATCAGTCCCAATTCCAGTGGATTGCCTCAAAGGCATGGTACAAAACTTCCAAGAGCTTCGATATCCTGAGGATGGCACAGCCAAAGGCTGGAGCATTTATGAAATGTGCACCACCGTACACACCCTTCCCCTTCTCTTCTTGTGTGATTGCAAAATGTGATTGCAAAAGGTCTCAATACGATCCTCTTCTTGTTTTGCTTGAAGGTATGAGAGAGAAACAATTTTTAAGCTCGCTCGTTTCTCAAGCCCATATTCGTTTTTGTCTCGAATACCTTTTGGATCAGCCTGGAGAGGTTGAATCGCGTTTCCCTAATGAGCAGAACGTCAGGCATAAAAGACACACGTTCGAGCACGTGAGGAGATTCCTTGAGTGCTCACAGATTTCCAAGCCGTTTGAAGAGATAAGTGTGGCTATAAATAGTAATCCAAGTAGATTACCGTAAAAAAGGAAGGAAGTATTTGAGCAAGAATTCCGATGCCTCACACGAGCCATCCTCCAAAACAGCGCTTATAATCACGGTCTTAATCTTATTTCTCTGTGCCTTCTATAGCGTAATACAAACACTGCCTTTCATCTGTCCACGATAAAGGCTGTAGTAGACTAGGCCCGCGCTCCATTCAGAACAGCATTTGCGCGGCGCTTGCTGAATATCTACCCCCATTAGCAGCCCTCAGTTGCTAATATGAGTATGAGGAAAAACTCATCTATTATTGAAAGCAAGGGCAGGTGTACCTCTAATTGGCCATAAAGATGCAACTAAAAACGGCAAAAAAAAACAAGGGCGCTATCATAATACTCACTAGATTTTCGTGGGGCTGAAGTTGAAATGGTTTCGATCAATTGTGTGGCATTCAGTTTGTCAGAAGCATTCGGATGCGTTTTCGGCACTTGTTGTTAGGTGGAAATAGCTGAATATTTGAAGGCTGCAGCTCGACAGACAAAGGTCGCACCGATGGCCGGAGAGAATCGTGCTCCGGGAGCCCGGGCAACTTCGTTTCCCTCGCTTGAAACGACGGTTTCTTCGCCACTACTTGTGCATATATAGAATGTTCAAAGATCCTTTGTCCGGCACAATGATTGTTCGTGATAATTGCAGGTCATATAAAACACATATGAGACCTGGCCAAGTCAACAGGATGCGTTTTCTATAGTTTATGTGGCAGTATTCGGGAGCAATTCAACTTCGTACGGAACTCGTATAATCTTACGACCTTCAATGAAGAATTCAAGTCAAAAAGGAGACACCTTAATCTTAATTTTCCATTCCACAGCTATTGGAAGCTCAGAGTAGCAAATCGGTGCAGTTTTCTTGAGTGAAGAAGGTTCAGCCTTGTCTTTTCAGCCAAGCATTTTCGGCTTCGCGATAATCATGCAAAAATATGCAGGCATGCATAGCTTATGGATGATTCCTAGAGAATAGCACAATTAAGTGGCTTTTCCTGCTAAACATCTGGACAACCCAGAAAATACACCTTCTACGTCTAGACGTCGGCAATCAGAACCGTTTTCAAGGAGACCATTAGAATCGTTAGCCTCAATGCTATCAATGTCATTACTCGTCTCCCTTGTCTTCCGCCTTCCAAACCCTATCTAATTTGAATCTTTAGAAAAACTAGGGAGAGGATAAGAACTTCGCCATGAAGGAAGCTTCGATTGAGTTCGTCACGTACTCTGCTCTTACTTGATGCTGCCCGTTTCATTTGCGGTTAGCGCTGTCCGACACTCTCTTCTACCCACGCATCCCACATATCACATGCTCGCAGCATACTTCTCATAAGCGGTCACAACCCGCTCACTTCCATGATTACTACTATGGTCCCTGGACAACTGGATGGGTGAAGCGTAAGGTAGCGGAGAGCGAGCAAGCGAGTGCGAATGAATATGGACCCGCCCCAGTTGGCTGGCTGGGCAATCGCTCCCCGGGGATGCTGACGTAGCATATCGAGAGCTGTCGTGAGTGGACGACCGAGACTTATTTGATTACCACTCGTTTCAAAATAACTTTGCCATGAAGCGTCAAGTGCAGGCCTTGTCTTGGGCGAGCAGGGGAGTTCGTCGTTTCGACGCGATACATTTTAATTTCCACAGTTCATGGATATATACGCAGATGGGCGACGACGATAACTCGTACGCCATCCAGCTGCTGCCGACCAACCCAGCAATCGAAGCCGGCGCAAAGTAAGTGATGGCAACGAAAAGCCGGCTTGGCCTGTATAGTTGGGCAAAACAGGATTTCAGAGCATTTCGTGCTTGAAAGAGGTGATTTGTGAGCTATTTTTGGGGAAGCTTAATAGCTGAGAGCTTTATTGTGCCGGTCTGGCTCTGAAGAAGGAGTTCTTAGCTGCTCACAGAAGATAGAGGATACCTTACCAAGTCAACTATTTGGTATAGACCAGCGCTGACGTGCACGTCGAGCGTTGTTCGCGGATGACGGATCGGGAGATATGGACGAGCGTTCGCCCGAATCCACGACGACAATCTGCAACTCACACAACTGCCCAACCGACATTGGACGTAAACTGAGTGTGCACACCTACCTTCCGTGAGGATCAGAATGACTTCCGGCGAGTGCGTCGTCGTCGGAGATCCATCGATAACGCTGTGCTGCTACATCGATTACCTCCTTCGGTCGTTGCTTCTTCACCACAAAGCCTGAAATTACCCAGCGGCTTCCATTGAATAACGATCTTATTCTCGGGAATTTTCTGAAGGTATTGCTCGGGAAAAGCAGGGTTTCGTCCAGATTCTTCATCATCTTCCTTCATAGCACGACTCATGGAATCATTAATGAGCTAATTTCCTTGCCAATAACAAAGGTTGCACTCGCCAGCAATTTATAATAATGATGCGTGCTTCGTTGAGCTGCTCAGCTCACCTCGGCAAAATGGGACTCGCTTGAATGCCGATCGCCACCATGGTAACTTGGTAATCAGCTTAAGTAGCAACGGCTTCCTCTGATTGCCATCAAGGAATCTGATTGGCAACGGCGTTCGGACATGCAATGAAATTGCCATTACATGCAAAAAATTCGTGGGTTCTAAGAGATGACAAGCGCAAGGCTGAATTTTCGCGTCACCCCAGGGCCCCTCGCGTCAAGCACCTGCCATCAGCTGGGCAGACAGCGGAGGAGTCATCCATTTCTCAACTGAACTCATTGTGTCGGCTAGTTTTTAAAGGGTGACCATTTTCACAGACTCGACACCATATATTGATTTTACCATCAAAAATTCTGAGATGGGAGCTTTTCTTTAGCTCTCTTCCGTTTCTTTTTTCACAGCGAAGTGGGAATTTCAATTTAGAAGGCGAATCCTAGATAGAACTGGAAGAGCTCAAGACATTACTGGAAATCCTGGTGAAGGAATCCTAGCGGTACACTCGGATGGTTTGACCTCCCTACGGCAATGCGCTTCAGTTATCAAACGCCCATGACACCCCAAGCATGACGTGGAGGGCCTCTTATGTTTAAAAGAAACCTCAGCCTGAATTGAGTAACCTAGTATATTGACATGACGCCGAGTATTCAGAAATTGCTAGTTTTCCAGCTCACAGCTCACACGTCTTCATTACTCAGCTTTAAGTTCCTGCTCACAGTGGCAACAGTGTAGATGTGACAAAAGGAATCTGACCACGAGAAGCCTATCTCGAGTCACGTGAACCACAAGGAGAGCATGAGATTTTGTGCAATGCTTCTGGCTTCTTTTTTAATCAAGAGACCGTGAGATATTGACCTTGCACAAATTATACCTTCCACCGTTCGGGCAACATTTCATCCCAAATGTCTCCGTAAGCAAGAGGAAACCCATCAGCAAAACCGATAGCACAAATGATGAGTACAGATGGTTATATCGGGAACATCTCGTCAAGACCAGTGCGCTCCCTCCAACCCATCTGTCATGGGTCAGAATGGAAAAGGCTGCCCTTTCGCGCAATAAACTGCTTCCAATAGATTCCTCGAATCAGCTCTATAAAAGCCGTTCTTTCACTTTTATTGCTGAGCGCAGATTTCATCAAAATCAACTGCAAGCTGTGATTTTGGAAAGCGAGTTTCAAATTGATGCTGAATACTCATAGATTTTATTAGAGCCAAGGTGGCGATTTTTAAGAGAGGAAGTGTTTTTCAAAAGTCTCATGTACGTTTCTTGAGTACGACAAGGGAGTAATCCACTACAAAAAGTAGCATATTCAGATTTTTTCGTAGATTTTTCCATACATATAGCATGACGAATCAATTACCCTAGTGAGCTTCGGGATTTGGGCTCTAAAAAGGTGAATTTTTATGACTATGGGAACAAGCGTAGTTGATTGCTGGGAAAGTGGACGCAATTACTGCTTCAACTGAGACAATGAGTTAGTATTCTCAGTATTCTAGATAATTCTAAGCGAGATAAGGTTCCCCTAGCTATTTATAAGTATTCATCTGGAATTTCGCAGGGTTACTTTTTTCTTAGCATATGACAAGAAACAGTAATAGGCAGAAATTACCTCGAATGGTTTGCAATAGGCAGAAGATCAGAGAAAACATGTTTTGAGAACATGGCATATTTATTCCACATGATAAGCTCCGAAGCAACAGCACACAGCGTGGAGTGTTAAATAGCAGCAGGTCACATAGGGGAAAGGAGAACGTGAGGTTAGAAGTCGTTGAGAAGCAGCTGATCTCCTGCAGGTTCTTACAGGGACAGCTGCAGAAGGATGAACGGAATCAGTTGATTAGGAGGACCTGAAGACCGCCAGCAGCATGTCGTCGGTAAAGTCCAGAATCGATGCAGCTGAAGTCAAAACCGCGCTCCATGGACACGCCCCTCGGGGAGGGATCTTACACCTTCGAGAGCGAAAGAGGTCGGCAAGAAAGCGACAACGAATCGCAGAGCTATAACTATGCAAATCGGGTGCACTTTGTGTCGAGGAATCCGATCTCCAGCACTTCAGTTGTCCTACCTGGGATGTTTCGTGAACGTTGCATGCACTCAAAACCAAATGCTGAACTAAGAACATTCCTGCGAGAAAGCGTCAATATGTAGTCCATATAATGCTTGTTTTAAATCCAAAAGTGAAATCGATAAGTAGGGAGTGATAAGCTGTCGCAAGTGAAAAACGATCTCTTTTTCTTCCCATGCATTAGGGGATGCTCGATGCACTGGGCAGGATTCAGAGCGGATTTTCGAGCGAAATCGGAGGCTAAACCCTCGGCCCCGATTCACTCATCTTCGCCCTCAACCATTAGAAAGTATTTATGCGATCGAATCGTTAGAAAACTATACAGCACACTACCCTCAATACAGCACGTCCTACTGTGATGCTATTCGAAGGGCAAAGGTTTTTGGGACTTAGTTTATTTTGATTTTTTTTACAGTTTGCGTTTTAGACCAGAGAATATGCGAAAGCATGTAACAGATCGGAATTTTCATGCATTAACTGTGCTGCTTCGCATCTGTACTGGAGAGGGCTCAGGTGTTGCTGATGAGCATTCAAGCGGGGGCGCTTTTCAATTTCGAAAAATTCGCCGCTTTATACACCGAATTTCTGCGTTTGGGTAGGGTAAAATTGAAGCTCAATTGCTCAAACGGATAACGCACTGGCGGCATAGTGGCTCATTAGAAAGGCATCGCGACTTGGGCATACTGAAGGTGTTCGGAAGGGAATTTGGCTCATGCGCCTTATCAAAAGATCCACTTTCGATCATTTCTTTGTAGTTCTTCTCTGTATTTGTTACTAAAGTTCTTCTTCCGATCTATTCGTTTTTTCTTCTCATATTGTATGTTCGTGTTTAGCAAAAGACCCTCCTGCCTAGGCCACAGACGCAGTACGCGGACGTTGGTGGTGTTGACGGGCCTACTAAGTTGGTACCCGGAGGCGCACTACATCATGGCGACTTGCAGTGTTGGCGGGCCACTGCTCTTCACCACCAGTTGTCCTACCCCTCCCTCTCGTACCCTTGTTAGTCTTGGTTCCTATTCACTTTTTCTTTTTCTCTTCCTGTTTTATCGGAAATTTAATGTAACTGTGTACTGTTTATGTTCTGTTTGGTTTACCGATAATAAATCATAACATAACATAACATAACACTTGCTGCTTTTGTGAGCCTTCATATCTTATTAGACGGGTAGGTAACTTCGCATACTTGGGAACTTGGAGAAGTGACTAGAAGATCTATGTGGTCGAGACTCGATCGAAGAAGTGCAAGATTGCTTCTTCAACGCCACCTCCGGCTTCCATGTTAGTGTTCTTCGATCCAGTTGTGAGATCTCATGAATTCAACCTGTAGTTGCGGTCATAAAGGTTCGCCGACACGGTTCTTGAAGCGTCAAATTTTTTCCTGTGAAGAATTCGTGCGAGCTGGCTCCATGTCCGGTCTTCGAGGTTTGTTAAAAATTTTGTCCGTTAAAAAATCTTGCAAGTTTTTCTTCAACACATTGACGACCGCGCGCACGCTGCTTCAGCATTTTTTGGCGTTAATACTTCAGAGTTTCGTCATCATTAACAAAAAAAAAACGGTTTTTCTGATCCAATAATATATGTACATGGACCGTTGTCGAACAGAAACAAACGCCAAAAGAGTTAAGGAAAAGTAGTCTCCTGGCGGATTAGGCCTACCGCTGGTTAGTCGAGACGCTGATGTATTGATAGCAGTTCAAATTAGTCGTAACTCGCAGTCAAGCTGTTATTATGAGCACTCGAAGACGACAGGTATGTTATTGATTTTCACAGCTCCAGCAAAAATCAGGACAAGGAACAAAGATTATGAGTGATTCGCTTATAAATCTAACCGATAACTTAATATCCAATTTTCCCAACAATAAGCTTTTTCCCATAGGCAAGGTTAGAAGTGCACGTGGTTTTTTTTTACTCTTCCAAGTTTTATAAGTTTAAAAAATCAATTACTCAAAACTGTTACGTAAAACTGTAGACGTTGAACTACCCAATCATCTGTCCGGGTTTGGCAGAGCAAATGCTCAGCAACTGCGATGTTCAGGTGTTCTACTGTGGTGTTGAAGACTCAAAGAAAAGCTGTTATTAGGCAAAGAATCACGCAAAGAGGAAGGGGGCAAATGCGTTAATGGCCAAAACTCTCATCTGAGAAAATACGAATGAATGAAATTATGGAAGAATGAAATTATTTTGTGAAGTGTATTATTTCGAATGGGGCGGAAGTGGTGTAGTGGCAAGTGGCACGCTTACCACGCGAGCGGTCCGGGGATCAAATCCTGGGTCGTGAGTCGCCCGGGCCAACCAAGCCTTCCATCCCTCCGGGGTCGGTTAATTGGTACCAGACTTGTCTGGGAGGATAAAAACACTGAACATCGGCTGGCCCCCGCAAGTCATTGTATAGGCCACATCGCATTCAAACGCCACTACGAATGTACAAATGGAAGTAGAATGCGTGCCGCATCCCAAAAAGGGATTGATCAACGGCAAATGCTTTATCCTTTATCCTTTTATTAGTTCGAATGACGCGGTACACTGCAAGACTTCAATGATTTCGTTGTTGTGTTACCGTAGAAAATTTCCAAAAAGCTTAAATTAACGACATGACCCTTAACGCCGCAAAATCGTCTGGAACTATTCATTTCTGTGAGCTATTTTAGCTTGCTATTTCCTATGAATTATGTAGTTTCCGAGGAAAATGAATTCTTCACTTCGTATTTTGCATGATGCAGGTGCACATGCGTGAACCATGGAATCATGGGTTTTTTCCCAAGCGGCTCTCTGAGCACCAAAAAAGGGGATTTGTGTTTCAAATCCTTGCAATGACAAACGTTTGACGATTAAAAGTTGACGTGGTTATTACCAATCCTAATTATGAAAATGATATTCATAGTTCATGATAACTCCATTTTGCGCGAATTTTGGAACGTCAACTCGAAATGCAAAATTTGTCACCACGAGGAATCGAACTAGGGACCCCTTTTTGGTATTCAGAGGGCCGTTCAGGAAAAATTAACCATGGTTCTGTGGTTTCCGCATGAGCCCCTGTATCATGCAAAAAAAGCCGTTTTGGCACCCCCTACAGACCTTACTGGTTAGAGAGACAGTGAACTTCCAGAAAAACGATCGGCACTATTTACCCTTTACTGCCCCACTCCTCAAGAACTGAGCCGGATTTTGATCGAAATTCGTCCATGACTGTGGATTTGGCTAGAAACTTGCCTTCAGGGGTAATTTGACCCGTAGAACACGAATATAATACCGGTTTAGAGCGAAAACGCTTGGCGCCCGCGCCACAGGCGCCGGCGCTATCACAACAGTTTTGCGCGGGCGCTCGTAGCGCAGGCTACAGGTTCACTCGTAACAAACTGATGTGATAATCATATTCTACGGGTCAAAATACCTCTGAGGACAACTTTCCAGCGAATTTGGGGATCCGAGATGCCTTTTGGCGCCGGCGCTTCTGACGCGAGCGCCAGGCGTTCTAGCGGTAAACAAATGTGATATTCGTGTTCTACGGGTCGAATTACCCCCGAAGACAAGTTTCTAGCCAAATTCACAGTCAATGACCAATTTCGATAAAAATCCGGCTCAGTTCTCGAGGAGTGGGGCAGTAAAGGGTAAATAGTGCCAGATGCTAATAAATTCAGAACGTTTGGACTGAAGCATATGATAGGAGAAGGTTCACGCCAACGAAAGGTTTATTGGCAGCCACCCATTCGATCTTCTGATTACTCGCAAAAGGACAAATTAGCGAAGGTTAACAAATCATCCTCTTTCAAAAGTTGTATTGAAAAGACCTAAGTTGTAAAATCTGTCGCAAACCGCCTATTGAATAAAAGGCGTAGCAGATTGATTGACAATCACTTCTGGTTGAAATTCGGCAAATTCGGATTCACCTCTGCTTGTTAATATATCCACATGTGGTGATGCAACGTAGTGGTTTTTTGAGTTGATTTCTTCTCATCATGATTCCGTGAAAACAAAACCTGAATCTTTGGTGAGAAGTTGGGGTCCACATGATTCTTCTATCGTGAGCGCAATTGTGGATTTTCAACAGGAAAAGTTGTACTCCAAAAATGCTTCTTAAACATTTATTAGTGACAAATTGAAGGTGATTAGAAACAAGTCAAAAGTGTGCTCCTAGTAACGGCCATTCTTCGTCACCATTTCGTGTTAATATAGAGCCGTGCGACCGCATAATTCATCAAGCTTGAGCTGTGTTTGATTACCATCTGTTCATTCGATCACTGTGATGTCGCGACAAAGCTGATCCACTGCTGGCTCGCTCATGATGAGCGCTGCGCTTTGTGTTGTCGGTGTAACACATACGTTGCACTAACATCGCACGTTCAGTCGGCCAGCCAATTTTTTCTCAACGCTTTCGGGTAGGGAGGATCGTTTTTTGTCGCGCGACGCATCTTGACTTCTGGACATGTCGTCAAGTTCTAGCGATTAATACGTGGATGTGCAGTAGCGGTGAGAAGTGATCGCCGAAACAGTTTTTCGTGCTTCTCCTTTTTTTTGCCAAAAAAAATCAATGGTGACCTCGAAATTTTTTCTTTGAATATCCTGATTCTTTAAGACTTGAGGATATAAAAACACTAGAAAACA